CTTCACCGATCACCTTGCACGTCTACTCAGCGGATCCAAACGAAGCGCGTATCCGTAGATTGGGTTTCAGCCTCCCAACTGCAATCCCTATCCTAGGAGTGCGGACCGATGCCACTGCGGCCCCTACGAAAGCAATTATTCCACCATATCGTTCTTTAGGCAGAGCCCCTCCTCGCTCCGGACCAAGCGCATGTATTGGGAACTTACTGCGTTCCAGAACGACCGGGACTTGCGTTAAATGGCATCTCTGGGCATCGCCGACGAGGCCATTCGAAGCCTCGTAAAAACGCCCACCAAGACCTTGGCACAACGCCCTCACGCATGGAGCCGCGGATAAGGATTGGGCGACAGGGTGTTTCTTTTCAGCCGGCAGGACGAAGCTTTTTGCTGAGCTTCGCTCAGTAATTATAGTCATGTCGTGTCACAGCGCCTAAATCTCACACGATTCTCACGGTCTGGTGTTGAGTTTTCAACACAGCGCGCATCAAACAGCGGACTCTTCCCCGCCATGCCCATCATCCGGGGGTTTTGTGGGGTGGCTTGGCAGCGCTAGAGTCGGCCGGACTCACATAGGCCGCCCCGCTCGCCAGGCATCGCGCACTCTGGTGCTCTCTGGAAATCCCGCTGTCCACTACTGGGATAAAGCTGACGAGAGCCCAGATGGTGCATCGGATAAATGGAGCACTGGCCTCCTGCAATTCGCCAGTGCCGTCCAACGCCCACGGCGCGAGCGGAACAATGGAAGCTGCTGGTTCTTGCATGGCAGCGTCAAGCACCCTGCACCACCCTGCACCATGGATAGCGACAGCACTGATCTGAGGCTACTTGCGACGGTCTCTGAACCCGGTCTACCGTTAACAAGCGACATCTGGGCACGGCATTTGCATTGACTTTTGGACTACCCGCACGTGGCCCACGGCGATACCGCAGGCAGTTTGTAATCGTTGCGCTGCCCCGGCGAATAGCCTACGAATCCAAACACCTGGATGGCGCACACGATGTCATGCCCAGAAACGCCAAACAGCGCACCAAGCCGATCGTCCATGTGGTTGTCGCGTGGCCGTCCGCCGGATGGGATCCAAAAGATCGACGAGCGTTGACTGAGCCCCTTGACTGCTTCCACCCATCTCAACGTTCCGCAGCTCCTAATTGCGTGCTGCGCGATCATCTAGTTGCGTTGCTGCGGCACAGGTCGAATGCATGCCAAAATACGCCCACCTGCGACAGGGCTCCCTAGCTTGTTGTAAGCAACCGTCAGCATCGGGAACGTGCTCTCTCGTCTCTTCGTAAACATGGTAGAAGAGAGATTGGCCAACTACGCCGCAATGAAACATGGTATCAATACTGCGTACTGACATCTCAACACATGCAACATGCCTTCTGGCAGTATACCAAAGGCAACTTCCAACACACAGTGATTGCTTTTTTCATCTTCAATTACGCGAGAGCATCTAGAATCAGGGTCTGGTTATCGCTTGATATTTATATGTCTGCATCATCAGACGCGGACATCGGCTATGCGCGTCTAGCAAACTATCGAAACGCATCGTCTAAGCGCAGACGTTCAGTCTCGCTACCGATGGGTCGTGGTCGCTGACTTGCTCATCATATTCGGGCCATGTATTAACATGAATGTGCTCAAAGTCTGCCCTGCTCTTCTTGGCCAAGGACGGCGAGACGAACATGTGGTCTAGTTCCTGAGCGTTCATGTCGAAGAGATAGGTGTAGCGCTCGAGCTCGTCCTCGCGGACTACCTCGTCTAGATCCTTGAGCCCTGAGATCTTGGTGTACTCTTCGAGGGGTTGCACGAAGGCAAACTCGTTGAAGTCCCCTGCAGTCACGACGCGGGCGTTCTTGTCCTTGGAAAGGATATCCTGCAATTCAACGTCAGCCGTGCTCTCATCTACACTCCAACTTCATAGCTTCAGGGGCAGGAAAAGGCATTCCCTTCGTGCGAGCGTGGCGTTCTTGGTACCACCGAGGGACGGAGGTACGAGAAGCGTGCTGCAGCCACCCCTCTCCGCGCCGCCTTGCCGCATAGAGCTGCAACCGACATATCAACGTACCTTGACGAAATTTGCAGTGAGACGCGCCTGTTCGAGACGATCATCTAGAAGCATATCGTTAACGACTGTTGCACGAATCTACTCAGATTGATGAACTCACCTACGCCACCATTGACTGGTGGTCGAGCATCTCCATGCAAACTGCTTGATCCTCCCTTTGAGCCAAAGTGCACATTGACCGTGAAGAACACATTCGTCTTCTTCGCGCCGGCCTTTCCGATAACTTCCCACTGTGCAGCCAACGGCTTTCGGCTCGCTGTCCAGGCGTCATTTGCCGGCTCGATACGTCCAGGGTTGTACTTCAATGTCGGGCCAGCAAGCACTTCGTTGGCATCGAGCGGACCGCCCGGGTTGGGCTTGTAGAGGCGAATCAGGTTCGGCTTGTACAGGTAGGCGACGCGGATGTTACCACCTGGCTGGCCACCGTCTTGATCGTCAACAGGCACAATATCGGTGAATGTGTAGTTTGGGCCGCCGGCTGCTGAGATGGCAGCTGTGAGTGTGCTGAGGGTAAGGTTTGCGGATACGACTAGACATGTCAGACGATTCTGTTCAATGCGTGCGACGCGGGAGAGGAGTGCGGCTCGTATGCGCCCCGTCCCGGGTACGACATTCGGTCAAGGAAAACGGCAACGCTGTGAAAGGTTTCTGTGGCACTTACCTGCGTCGTTGGTGGGACCGTTGTCGTCCTGTACCTCCTGAATGAAGAGAATATCTGGGCTCTTCATGTAGTTCACGATGTGGTTGGCAAGATCAGGGTGGTGGTCAGATGTAGGGGCAAGGTTCTCGACATTGTAGTCGCCAAAGGTAATGCCATCGCACTTGCCGCTTGATACAAGCTTGGTCGCCGGAGGAAGAACAGGCGTCTGGCTCTTAGTGACCTTGATAGCGGTAGTAGGGAGGATGCGGTAGAAGCCAAAAGCGTAGCTGACGATGCCAGTAATCTCCTCGACTGAATCGCCCATCTTGGTGCCAGTGGGGTTCTTGGTTCCGTCGAGAGGAGTTCCGATAACGATGGCCTCTGGGTTGGCATCCTTGTCAGTCAAGGTCAATCCACCACGGTCATTGCGACCAGAAACCTTCCAGTCTCCAGCTACCCAGGTGTCGCCGTACTGGTTGGGCTTGGTGAGCGCAGTAGGCTTCTTGACAGTGACCAATTCACCGGTCAAGCTCTCCCAGAAGTCAAGACCGTACTTCTTTGGCTGCAGCTCCGGGTTCGCAACGCTAATCTGCGACACGTTGTTTGGCACAGCGAATACATCTCCGCCATCCAGACTGCTGTATTGCTCATTTGGAGGGTCGCGGGTGTCTTTTCCGATAATCAGCGGCTTTACGGCAGCACCCGAGCTGAGTCGCCCCTGCAATACTGGTGTCGAGAGCTGGGTCAGGTAGATGTAGTCCTTGTTCGAGCGGTACTCCACCACCTTGCCTCCCACAACAACAGTATCGCCAACCGTCAAGTTCGCACCAAACGTGCGACCGAAAACGTATACAGACTCGGATGTCCGCTCGTCGCGGTCAGGCTGTGTCGATCGCAGCCAAAGACCATCGGGTCCCTTCGCCGTAACAACACCAGTAACGTTCGAAACCGTCTGATCTCTGTATGGCGAGAGAAACTTGTTTCCATTAATCTCCGCAATCGTCAGCGCAGTAGAAACCGCCACCGAGGCCGAAAGGGCAAAAAGTCGCGTCAAAGGCGCCATAACGAAGAGTAAAAACGAAGGTATGAACCGGAATAGCGTTTACCAGTATTGAGGTTCGGGCACTATCTTCTTATAATCCGCATTGCTACCATGCTACCATGCTACCAAGTCAAAAAGCGCGTTCCAAGAACCCGGTCCCGCTGCTGTCTATCAATGACGATCGCGCTACACTCCACTTGACCTGTTCCTGACAGTTATCGCCGCTGGCCGTCCGACCCATCCGTTACTAAACACCACCCCACCTCTTGCTCGACTAACTCATCTTCGCAGCTTGCCTATCACAGCCAGAGAACAACATACCACCGGCCATGCGCGAGCGCCGATAGCCCTTGGCAATACCACTGATTCTCTTGACTTCTTGTGCATGTTTTCGACGCGTGCAGCGACGCGCGTGGTTTGGTTGGTCGGAGTGCAGCGCTGGACCCTGGTTTGGCGCGGGCCGAGGCTGTAGCTTCTTTGGGAAGGTGGGACGGTGATTGGTTCGAAAGCGGGAGGTTGGGGAGATTGAAGCGGCGACATCCGCTAGGCGTGGCGGAGGGCTGTCAATCAGTTGGGAGAGATAAGACACGTGTGGGGATGGCGCGATGGGTGGTTTTCATGCGTGGTATAGGAGAAGCGGCTTGGGAGGTGTGGCGGTGGAGTACACATGAGAGGCGGGTGGACGATGGACGATGGATCGTGGATGATGAGAGGATGGGAGCGAATGGGAGGGATGCACGTGGGCTGGGCACTGATCTGGACGGCTTGCAAAAATGGCGGATGTACGGCTTTGTGAGTATACAACCGGTGTCGACGCGGTTGTTACATTATCTGAAGGTGCGCTACTCCTACTGCGTCTTTTACAGCTCATACACCTCATATAAGGAAAAGCTTCATCATGCTGGAGCCTACATCAACATGAACACATGAGAAGAAGGCGACGCGACGTCAATGTCGGCTCTATGGGGCTCGTTTCAGTTCTTCCTTTGAATATGGTGCATCGATTTCAACAACGGAGTACACATGTATGGGGACGAGGGAAGAGACGCAACACACGCAAAACCACAGTTATGCAGCATCAAGACCGCTGTTGAAAGCAAAGCAGCTTTCCGAGCTTGATTGCGGTAATAATGATACCGATGCTCGCCGTCTTCTTACGACCTTACAATGCGCAATACCACGACCTCACTGCCTGCATCATATCTAACCCTGCCCAAAATAATAGCACCGCCCAGTTTCCAAAGTGTTCTGTCTACGCTTCATTGTCAGTATCTTCAAATCTTCTCCACTCTTTCTTCCAGAAGACATACTCATCGCGCTTGTAAATCACAAGTTGCCATTGGTTCGATTGTCGCTCATCCCTCTTCCTGCATGCCTCTGCAAGCGCTGCTTGCATCTGGGGGCTCGGAGTAGGACACGTCGGTCGCGCTGTGTTGCCTGTTGAATTGATTAGTAGGGTGACGTACTGGAGAAGACTTGTGAAACATAGACACACCTATTTCGACATTGGCATCGCGACTCTCGACTTGCGCGGAGTGGGCGTTTCCGTCACGCTCACTCCTGTTGGGTCGTTTGGTCGGGTTTGTTTCGCAATCGCTTGTAGCAGCCAGTTCCCGGCTTGCCCGACGCTTCTTGCCAGTATTTGCGAGCGAAGACCCCGGTGAGAGCGTCGCTTCCGGCCTGATAGGCGTTGGTCTTGAAGCCACAGGGCGGATTATGGTGTGAGGAGCGGGAGTGAGGTCGGCGGGCCTTGAAGCTACAGGCGGCGGTTCGAGGGCCATCATGACGATGGGATGTGTCAAATGGCCTATGTCTGTGGCTCTGTGGTGACTTCTACCTCGTAAAGACTGACTACTCAGTGGCTTGCGTGAACTAGATGAGGGCTTTGATTGGCTCTTTCCCGGCATTCTCCATTTACCTGGTAGCACGGAGTTAGTATGCTGGTTTGAAGGGCTGGATTGCATATCGCTTACCTGAACTGAGCAATGTCAAATTCTCTTGGAACTTTACACGCAGCCGACTCGGATCCTTGGGCGGGGATGTCTCAACCGGTGGTGGCGACGACGCTGGCTCTGCTGGAAGACAGATGTGATAAGGCGGTGGTGAGTCTGGTGGAGCGACTGCATGAGGCATCGAAGACTTTGACGAAGTTTCCGTGGACCGTTCCAACACGTTATCGTATTGCAACTGCATATGTCCTCGTTCTATATCATTGATCGCTTCCACGGCCCGAATGAGCTCACCATCATCATCTGTGTGGGTCGAATAAGCGACCAGGCGACGACATAGATCCAAGACAGGTCTCTTCGTAGTCTTATCGCCTTCTGTAAGCTCCAAGATGAGCTTTTGCGTTGCATGTTGAATGGCTTCTAGCAGGAGATCAAGCAACGACCGTGACGCCTGGCTTTCTCTGTAGTCTGCTTCCATGGCAGCGAGACGCTTGATCTCCGGTGAGCCACAGTGTTTGATTTCAAAGTATTCCCTTCGAATCCTGATCGCCTCGCGGGAAAAGTGCTCGCCTTCCAGGTACTCCTCAAGCAGAAAAGGATGCTTCACCAAGCTCTTTAGGTGAACTCCCGACATCGACCAGGAGCTGGGTACAACGAGCGGCTCAGAATCGAAAATCTTCGTTTTGGCGGTGCGAGCGATGTTATGTCGCAGGTCTAGACAACGCTTCACATCGCGAAGCTCTTGTGCGGCTATCTCCTGCTGCATATTGGCATAGTATTCCGCGGTGGCGGCATCAATCGCGTTCCAGGATGCTGGTTTGAAGAAAGGAGGACTGGGCGGAGGCTCTGGAGTAGCTTGAAGTTCTAATTGCTCCGATTGCGTTGAACCGCTGACATTTGCGCAGTGAGTTGTCGCTTGTTGTGCGGCCAGTTCGCCTGCGAGCGATAAAGGAAGGTCCATCGCGTATAGATCCGCATCCGAGTCATCGATGTCAGAAAAAGGCATATCAACAACATTGGTCATATCGAGAGTGTGGATCGTGTTGATATGGGTATCGATACGCCTTGGGGGATACGATACGATTTTGGAGTCGATGCTGTGTTCGAAAGGCGAGTGAGGAAGACTAATGATCTTGCCAGGTCAGTATTCAGCTCTTCTCGCCGGGCGCTCACTTACTAATGCAACAGTGCTGTTGAGAAGATAGCAATGTGAGAGTAAACAAATCGATATATTGAAAGTGAAAGAGCTCGCGGGTTCAAGCTCTTGCTTAGGTGAGGATGAAGCAATCACGATGCTCGCGTGAAATGAAGTGCCTCGTACGCTACGTGGCAGGCGCGGAGGTAGACTACGGTGAGATGCCTTCACATCGTAGATTATCTCATTCCGTAACGCTCACAAGTATATCCGCACTGGGAGTGGCTATTATTCCTGTCGCATCCCTAAGCTGCTGCATTCACGCTATTATGTCTATGCAAATAGGAAGTACCTATACAAGACAGTGCATATTTCTACTCATACCTTTTTGTAGAATGCGACACAAATTCCAGCCACCCCAAGTGCCCTCGTGATTGTAAATGAATTTGATCGCTCCTCCCAATATCGTAGTGTGATAGCCGCACCTCCATGCAGGTGCCGCGGTTGCGGGTGCACATGAGACATCTAGACACGAGCAGAAGCTCTCGCAACTTGCAACTTGCAGTATTCAGAGTATCACATGTTGATGAATAGGCAGTTTCGAAGATGATGTATGCTTCTACCCTAATTTATCCGTTGTAGAATGAGACAAAAACCATGCCCACCTCTGGTGACACTACGCCGTAAAGGGTTTAGCGTCCTCACCTTCCAGATGCCCCATACACGAGCAAGCCACAACACTGGAAGCTGCCAAGGAAGTCACTCCGAAAATTGCGGCATTGAAATGGTAGAGTAGAAAGCAAAAGGCTATAAATTATAAGAAGCTAAGAATACACGCCCAGGCATCCGCCTCTCCGTACAAGCGAGACAGCTTGCAACAGGAGAGTGAAACGGAGGGTATATGCCCAAGTCGCTAGAAGAAGAAGAAAGTGGATATCAAAAAACGACATGACAACATCAATAGTACCCATCCGAAAGTCCATCCCAGAAAAGCCGAGTCCAAAGTCCTACATGTGCGGTCCCGGTTCCTGTTTTCCGTTGCCAGACCAAAACATACAACTCCCCTGGCCATACCTCATAAAACCCGTAAACCTAAAAAAGCTAAAACTGGTGAAAGATATTTAGAAGGCAACACCAACGGCCCCTGGACTCATGACCATCGCACTTGCCCTACCATTAATGCCAACGTCTTTAGCACTAATCTCCATACCCTTGAGCAAGTCAAAGTGAGGACTCATAGGTGGCTTCACATTCATGACACCGCTCTTCCTTGTTGTCGCGCTCAAGAGACCAGCCTCAGCAGCGATCTCCTTCTCCTTCACAAGCGTCAAAGGAGCAGGTACGCGGCGGAGTTTGCGGGGCGGCGAGCAAGTAGCGACGGTGGAGGCGAGAGAGTGGATTGTTGGTGTAGGCGAGGTGGAGCGCGTGGAGGTGTAGGATGTAGTAGAGAAGAGCGTTACGGTAGCTGTGCCGTTGCTTTCCTGGCTTTCCTGTCGTGTGTGTAAGGTGCGGGAGCCGGAGGTTGAGGGTCGGGATGTTGAGGTAGGGAGGGCGGGGTAGGGCGAGCATTGGTAGAAAGAGTCTGCTGTTTTTGGCGTCGTGGGACGCGAGGAAGAGGCTAGGGTGGAGGTTGAGCGCTTGAGCCAGGCTCCTAGGCGGGCGATGGGTGTGGTGGGTGTAGCGGGTGGTGGCGGCGTGATGGGGTTCGAGGTCAAGGGGCCGGTGTGAGCGAAGGATGGTGGGGAGAGTGTGAGTCCCATCGTTGCTCGTCGAGGCGCGGTAGCTTCTGGGGTGGCGGCGAGTGGCTTGAAGCCCAGGGGAGCTGAGAAGGCAGAGCCGATGTCCGAGAGGGTCTCAGAGCGGACGTGCATACGCATGGACGGCGCGATGTAAGGCACGTGGTGAGATGGAGAGGGTGGAGGGCGATTGATGAGTGCGGGTGAATGGGCGTGGGAGCGGTAAGCGCTGGCACGGCGCTCTTCGATTATAGTGTTCAATTCGCGGATGGCATCATCTACGTCAGTCTTTGTACGGCGAAGACTTCCTGGGCGAGAGGTTGGGGCAGTGTTGGCCCGATTGCGCGACGGCGATGGGAGACGTGAAAGCACACGGGCAGGCGACAATGTGCCGGACGTGCGCGATCGCTGGATGGTGGGCTTCTCAAGCATCTGATCAACGGCAATCGGCGAGTTTTCTGGCAAGTATGCTAGAGTGGGCGTAGCCATGGTGCCCATGGTGGTTCCTGAGAGTCTCCTCTCGTGGGTGGCGGTGCTCTTCTGGCTCTGGACACTGCTCCTTCGAGACTGCCCACCGACGGGTTTACGTTGGATGACGAATGATGAGGCAGAAGGGTTTGAAGATACAGAACTTGTACGTGAGTCTCTTACGCGGACATGGGCTTCAGCAGGACGCTCCAGCTGCGACGGTAGGCTAGCCCAGGCATCCTCACCGTCGAAGTCAGGCAGTGGAGATAGATGTCCACAACCGTCAGGAAGGTAGATGGATAGCTCAAGCGGACGGAAGCTACGACGACGGCGGGTAGGCACGGAAGCATCATCGAGCATTGAAGGCATATCATCAAGACCGTCGAAGTGCCGAAAGTTGGTTGGGCGACTGATGCTAGGCCTTGAATGGGAGCGCCTTGGTCGCGCAAGGGTCGAGATGCTTGCACGAGACGAAGCACGTGTAGCGTACTCGCGACTGTTGGAAACCCATTGTGAGACATGACGGCTCACCGACTGACTTGTCGATGGGCGTTGAAGTGTTGGCTCCGCGCAAGGTTGGGGTACGGGACGCGGTTGCTCGTAGCATATGCGCATATCAGTCTCCCCTATGCATCAAGACGTTAGCGTTATGTTGGATCGATCGGGATTGCCCTATGCGGCTCCAACATATTGGATGTCTGTTGGAGCATCGCCCGGGTATAGTCGTGCATCAAGCAGATTAAGGAGAGCGTAAGCGAGTGGCATGGTGCATCTCAACAAGAACGTTGGAGTTGGGAACCAACGGACAGCAGACTGCTATGATCGAGGCAGGAATCTGTAGAGACAACCGCAGAAAAGAGAGCGCAGAGTGAAGAGACAGTGGTGGGGATGGAGAGTGGAAGAAGGGATCGAACTTACCAGCGGCCCTGAGCGCATTTCTCCCATCGTCCACAAAATCCTCTTTTGATGCACAGCATCCAAACTTGATGGCCAGCCATGGGGACCTGGGTTCCTTCTCTTGCATATTCCCGTAATTCATCTTCTTTTCACGCTGTAGACCAGTACAGCTAATAACCCATCATCAAAATGATCAAAAGCAGTCGAACAAGAAGCGTGACAGAGAGCGTGGTGCCTGAAGCAGGCAAAAGCAAAGACTAACAGATACTAGAAGAGAGTAGTAGAAGAAGGTTGGAGGAAAGGGTAAGGATGAGAGAGGAAAGGCTGACTGCGCGAACCATTCGGATAAAGTCGCAGCCTGTCGACGAATGTGTTGTCCTGCAACGGATGGTTCGCTTCTAGAATGCGCAAATCCTGGAGGTCTGGCCGTCAGGAACAGCGAACCACTCGCACTTCACAGGACGACAGTGGCTCGCATGTTATAGATGAGGCCTGTCCCTGACCATTCTGTACGCGCCCAATGGCAGCGCATCCCTACCATGGAGGTTGTCAACTTCACCAGCTAGCTCGTGTGGAGGCTTGCGCGCATTGAGGCGGAAGGGTAGGGTGCCGGGTGTGATTGGCTAGGAAAATAGAGTAAGCGCTCAAGGCAGAGCGGAGACTCGCAGTAACGTGGACCAGTGACGAGGCAATAGCGCTTGCGGCTTGAAACTGCCAGAGGCCTTGTCGGCATGTGGCGCGCTGGGTCCTTTTTCGTTGGCAGATCTGGCATCAGGGCTGTTACTCCATATCGCCATGTTCGAGCATGCGCACAGCTGTCGCGTCCTTGGGCAGATCACCGCGACATGGCGGGGATGCCTTGGAACACTGGCCTTTATCTGCGACGTTTGAAACATGCGCATCGCAACGAGCGTCATTGTTTGAGACGCGCACGAACGGATTTCCGATATATGAGGGTAGTGTTGAATTGATGGGTCCGTGATGCCTGGGTCTGGTGGAAGGTGCAAATCACGCGTGCGCCTGCCCCATCGGTTGCTGAGGCTCTCGCCAAGTTCGCTCCCGCACCGGCATGCATCCCAGGATGTGCGACAGCGAATCAGTCGTCTACTCATGATTTCTGGTATAAACCTTCATGCTAGCGGGTAGTTTGCAATTGGTGAGATGCATAATTCTTGAAACAAGCACGCAAGAAATCGACAGTCAACTTATCCAATCATAGACAAGAAATGGACTTTAGAGGCTACAGTGAAGATAGTCTACCCATCTTCACCGGTGCCAGCGCATTGAGAGACTTGGAGGCCTTACGAAAAAAGCTCGTCTCGTCCTGATTTGTACCCATTCCACAGAAGCGGAAGAGCAAATCTCCACCTCTATCCCGTTTGGGGTGAAGGTTTCTATCGGGCTTGGTTAATTGGCCGCATGATTTAGATGACAGCGGAAACGAATGCACAATGCACAACGGACCGTACTTTGCACTTCTTAGGCAGATGTATAGTAGATGAATTTCGCCGTAGTTATGCTAAACGAACAAGGATATCGCTGACATTCTAACGCCGCAGGAAAAAGATGTCGCAAGGTGTAATATGTGGCATAAGCTTGGGTATAAAACAGATCAATGGCCCAAAGTCTGACAATGAGTGCCTCCTTGAGATCGGGATCGGGATCGCGTCATCAGTCGGCATTCCAAGCGTTGCGCTCTTCTCTGAAACTGCCGTAGGACGGACTGGGATGATCCTCGGCCTCTTCATTGGTCTTCTGGTTGCTGACATCGCGCGTTTCCCAGTGATTGGCTTCGCTAACGATGTGCGGCTTGATGTCGTGTTTCCGCTGTTCCTCTTCGCTTTGGTTCTCGGTAAACGCATAGTTCAGGTTGTGCTCAGCTTCTGGATTCTGCGGCTCAGGCTCATCGGGGTTGAAGCCTTCTCGAACCTCTTCTTCCTCGCCTGGCTCGTATGTTTTACTGCAGAAATGGTTAGTCTCCTATCTGGTCTCGAGTATGGAGGGAAAACCTACACAAAGTGCTTGGAAGGAACCTCATTCCAGCCTGGACCACCTTCCTTACGCGCTCTGACGCGGTCGACTTCTTCTGCCTGATGATCTTCGACAACGAGATCCACGAGCTGGCTCTTGTCCGATTTCGCTGAGCTGGACGAAGAAGACTTCTGACGGAGAAGGTTGCCAAAGGGCGCACGCGACTTGGAATGTGAGGACTTTGAGCGGGATGACTCTCCAGTGCTCGATTGGTCGCGTTGTTTACCCTTGTCTACAGATTCTTGTAGATCCTGGATTTGACTCTTCCTCCTGCGCTTGTTTTCCTTGGTGGGTTGCAGTAGGTTTCGGTTGGTCGATGCGGTCAGAATGTTGGGATCGGCGTACATGCGGTCTTCACGAGATGGACGGTGGGCTTCGATGACGGGGTACTGCAGTTGGGTCAGACAAGACACTATTGCAGAAGGGTGTATACTTACGTTCCAGTCTCCGAACTCCAGCGTACGTGCGTTATCATATAAGCGCTCTTCCTCGGCGTCCAGATTGGGCTCTTCGACTACGTCGGGTGTACCGTACTTGGCACCTTCGCCTTTGAGAGCCTTGTGTGGCCCTGGACTCATGGCTCTAGCGCGGCTCGATGTGACCTTGTTAAGGAGTGGTTCATGCTCCGATGCTTGTCCAGGCTTGGGGATCCAGTACTTGCCCTTGCCTCCTCGCTCGTATCTCATGCCTTCGGCCATGCGTGCAGCACGCGATGATGACTCCTCGTGTGCCAGCACGTTGTCGCGCGCATCGAAGTAGCGATATTCGTAGTGATTGCCGGCAAAGGTTTCCTTGGTGTCTTGGATGAGATCCAGGGGACCGAAGGCGTCGCGCAGGGCATATTTGACGGGCAAGCGGGCGGCCGATATGGTATCGTCGGCGTAATCGTGCCAAGAGAAGGCATACCAGTGGGCGAGTGCAAACAGTGGCATCTCGAAGCAGATGAGAGCGTCCTGTACAGCAGCGGCGAGGTTGTCAGGGCTGTAGCCAGGCACGTCATCTGGAATGGCGCCCAGAAAGACGAGAATGGATAAGAAGAAGCCTTGCCAGTATGAGGCGAAGATGATGCCCTTGATGCACAAGAACTTGGGCATGGGCCGAAAGGGCTTGAGATCAGTAGACATGCATACCCAGAACATGGCAAGGGCGTACAGACTGATGGTGATGCTGACGTTGTAGATCATGCCACTCCAGAAGTAGCCGGACGTCAAGCCTATGTATCCTTCCTTGTATGTGCCGGTAGCCTTCATGATGATGGTGGCCACGGACAGTAGCGGTTTGACCCATGTGTATTGCAGAATGCCGCGCTTGATGGCGAGGAAGGTATGCGGGTCGGATATGTCGATCTTGGAGCAGACGAGGTTGAGAGGCCATGGGTGGGAGACGGGTGCGCGGCCGGTCATGAGGATGATGAGGGCGCGTTCGCCGCCGATGAAGTTGATGAGCAGCTGAAGGAAGGTGTAGATGGTGAAGGCCTCATAGACATCTCTGAAGGGCTCTACATAGGACGCGGCTATGGTCGACACCAAACTGGCCCATGATGCGCCTGCGTAAATGGGGACCCTTGATAACGTGAGCGATGACACACGACAGCTGGAGAGAGGGCTCACATGAGGAGGATGCGGACGACATATCGCTGTAGCACCGGCTTGCGGTAGTTCTTCCTATGAATTGTTCAACACATGTCTATCGGTAGGTGGAGGTGTTCCTCACGTCTGTAACCAGACAGCACTACAGCTACGTCAGTTCATGTCATGCAAGATGGAAGCTCTACTGCCTACACAAAAGTGACCAGACTCGCGACCAGAGCGCACACGCCGGCCACGATGATAATCGCACGTGCAAACCGGGCGCCGGTGCCGCCAGACGAGAAGTCGGCGGCCGTGAAGTCGGGTGGGAGGGTGCCTAGAGACATGGTGAGGCGTAGGCCAGCGAGGGAACGCAACAGGAAAGAACTGAAGTCGCAGTCCTCGGTCGGTCGTTGCTAGAGGGACAGGCGGTGGTATTAGCGATGGATCGCAGCCATGGTGTGTGCTGTCGACTTGCGCCGGGCGTCGAGCGGGTGGTCTTGTGCACGTTTGCCCTCCACACTGTGGTAGGTTTGCGGAGAGGCAGCACAGGCCCAAGCTCGCTTCCCTGCAACACGCCCATGACGCGCATCCTGCCAGCTGCCGGGCGCGCCTCGAACCTCAATCGGCCCTGGCCCAGTAGCGCCGTCGTCCCTAGGACATGCTCCAACATTTCCACGCCATTGTCGCCCTACCCGTCTCGAGGTATCAAGACCACGCGTGAACGCGCCATAGCGACCCGGGCGCTCTTTCCTCACTGCTCGTCCACAACAATGCGCGACTTCCCCCTCGAGCCATGAAGACACTCACCCTCCTACACACAACGCGCTGCAGTCATGGCGGGAAGAATCGTCGCGGAGCCTC